TTATTTTACATTTTCATTAGGGGCAAATATCTCGTTATACTAATTCCATGTTTTAATTCTTGACTTGACTTTATTATAAAGCATTGGTCAGTGTTTTAGAAAAAAACAGAAAATACCAACATATTTTTTTTAATCATACACATTAAAAGAAAGAGTTACACAGAGTCAAATTATTAATCAAACTTCATCATACAACTGTTTCATCCTTCAAAGCCTAGTACAAATGGCATAAGACTATATATTTCGGAAGGGTAAGCGTCTTTTGCTTCATCGACGACACCCGCCATGCAAATCTTGGTCAATCCTAGTTAGTAATGGTCCCAAATAGGTACAAGGTAAACAACAACGAAACTATTAGTCATCATAACGAGCATCAAAAATGTCCAACTTCATATCACACAAAGAAATAGAATCTCAATGAGGTTCTAATGACGACCGTAAAACTCTCTCTCAAGAATACTCCAATAGTTACCAATAGAGATTTATTTACAAACACTATAAATGTAAAATCGATGTGAGAATGCAGTAGTTATTTTTTTCGGTACGGTTTGTTTGGCAAGCATATAGCAATCTATTTTCATCTTAAAAAAATATCATCTGTGTCAGATTAAATGAATATTTTAAAGACGATATTTTTACTTCGATATACTATAAAAAAATTACTCTTTACTAGGAATTATATAGTGTTACTAATATACATTAAATATACTTTTCACCAGGGATGGAACAAAGGCCTTGCAGGACCAACATTTCTTGACATTCAGTACATTTCCGGCACAGATCTAGAAAAGGGATCTGCTTTTGTGACGTCATACTTTACGGGTCGTGTGATAGGAGCACTCACCGGAGGAATGCTGTACTCTAAAGTGAACCAATTCCTCATACTAGTCGTAGTTATGTCCATTAACAGTGCCACCCTTGTTCTTATTCCTTGGTGTGGTATGTATGAATTCATGGTAGCTGCTCATCTAATCCTAGGATTCTGTAATGGAGTTATGGCTGTAGGTGAGTATATATGAAAAAATATATAAACATTATTACATTACATGAGCATGTCTTTTAAATCATAAATCTGTCTGATCGCCTTTCAAATATAGTAATTATACCAAAGACAAAAGTACATATAATATCTTTATCAATCGTTCTCTTATGAGAGCAAGGAATATCTTTTATCCAAATACAATCTCAACTTTCAGTCCTGACGGCTATTGCAGCTTCTATATGGGGACCTTCAGCACGTGGTAGAGTGTATATAAATATATTTTTGGCAGCGTTATCTCTAGCAGGACTCTTGTCACCAATGGTTGCCTCACCATTTTTACTTTCTAGTGACGTTGCCTCTTCAATTGCACAAAGAAATTCGCCTGAAAACAACTTCACTCGAGACGGATTTTTTTCAAAAGTCAATAATATTTCACAATCCAACTTCACTCAGATTGAGCGGCCAGCATCGAAAGTTTTCATTGCATATTCTATATCAGCCGGATTGGCTGCGCTGTCAACCTTACCATTCGCCGTGATTTATTTTAAACGATCTAATGATGGTGAAAAGAATACAGTCGACAAAGAATCAAAATTTGTTGGGAATATGCCCTTTTACATCAAATACCTTCAATTATTGAACATCGGGATATCTGCACTATTTTATTTGTCGCTAAATTTCAATTTCTTCGGATATTTGGCTACGTTCTGTGTTAAACACCTTGGGTGGACGAAGGCGTCTGGGGCATGGTTGACGTCATTATCGTTTCTCGGAATGCTGTGTGGAAGAGTTTTAGGAGCTTACTTGTCGCACTTCTTGAAGCCCATGAAAATGCTTGTGCTTTCGACCCTATCATATTGGATCGGACTGGTTGGACTGTCTATCTGCGGGGTAGTGCTCTTTGATATAGGAATATGGATCTCTGTATGTATCATATGTATTCCTTTAGGTTTCACTTGGCCGAGTTTATTGAGCTGGACAAACGAAAATTTAATTTCTCTGCGGGGAAATGTGACCGCATTCCTCCTACTGATGGGGTTCATTGGGTCATTATCGTTTCCGTTTTTATTCGGATACATGATGGAAGAGGTCTCTCCTGTATGGTTTTGTTTTATAAACTTGGGGAAGGGTACTGTGATAATTTTTAACGTAATTATCATGTTTGTTTATGAAAGATTCTTGAGAAAATCATGCAAACATGAGAAAAACGAAGGTATAGATTGTTGAAGCTGTATGAGAAGTCTCTTGTAACATACAGCAGTGCTTATTTTTCAATAACATTCACTTGTGTGTCTTTTGTACAGGAAAGGAAGATTGTACCAAATAAAATGTGTGTGATGTTATTTTCCAAAAATAAACAAGCAAATTTGTGGATGATGATGACTCGCTGTACACGGTCAGTTTTCAGTTTGGAATTTACATATTAGAAATTTCATAACACCTGATCTCATTCTTCTTTACTTTTGTAGTAGTGTACCCGTTAATCTTTCTTCTGTTCATATTTTGCACTTGTTTTAAATAGGCACAACGAAATAGGTTGATATCACTGGTACCTCTCACAATCTATTTCTTTGCTAGCTGATATATGTCACTATATGACGAAATAAGGAAATAAATTGCGATATGAACATATTTCAAACGATGCATCAAACTTTGGCTTCGATTTGAAAAGTCGGCTAAGCATATATTCAAACGAAAAATATACATGATTTTTAACTAGAGCTAGTAGAATGGATAGTAATCACTGATGGGATAAAAAGTAAAACGGAATCCATTAACCTACATATTTTCCTCTTTCAGCTTTGAACAAGAGTAACACAGAACAAACAATGTTTTACGGATGAATTAAGCCTACCGAGTTTAGTTTTAAAGATATCTGTGGACAAGATGAAAATGCTGAAAAGAACAAAGGCAATACCTTTTTGTAATATTGTTGAATCAAAATGTTATTCATAGAAACACTATCTCAGATTGTGGTTTTCAAGTCTACCAAGTTTAAAAGAAATTGGTAGAAAACTGAGTAATGAGATATCTGACAAAAAAAAAAGAGCTGTAATGTTAAAAAAACAAAGGGAAATAACTCTTCCCAAAATTATAAAATCACACTGCCATTAAGAAAAACATAATTTCATGGAATCGATATTTAGTCTACTAATTAGGTTAAAATGTATTGGTTATAAAGCATACCACATTTCAAGAGAAAATGGTGCAAAAATATGAAATATTAAAAAGTTAAAAATATAACAAAGAACATTAACTTCTTCAAAAATTGCTGAATCAAACTGCTTTGAAGGAAACAAGAATTCATGTCATGGTGATTTAAACCAAACAAGTCTGAATGAAATCAATTGAAAACTGAGATCTCCGGACTAGTGATTTGCATCAAGAAAACAACAAGGGGCAGTAACTCTTTCAAACAATGTTAAAAAAACTGCAGGGCAGGAAAAAAATTTCATGTCATGGTGATTAAGCATGCCTACATTGAAAGAAATTGATTAAAAACTGCGAGAGGAGATCTCTGGACAAGATTTACATTTTGAAAACTGCAAGGGACAGAAATTCATCCAAAAATAGTTGAATCAAACTGTCATTCAGGAAAACACAACTTATATCAAGGTGGGAGATTTCTAGACAAATAAAAGTTGACAGTTGACAAGACAGATGGACACGTGGACATATGAACGGACCAACAATAATAATGCCATATCATAATATGTCCCATCAAACTTTCTCAAGACAACAACTGCATTTATTGAAATGTCAGGTGAAAAAGTATGAAAATGTGGTAGTAATCTTATGTTTGCTATGTCTAAAAATGTATAGAAAACATTCTCTGTCTTCTTTTTACAAATGAATTCCCCATCCCTATGTCAATCTTTGCATGTGCTATTTACTCTTCAAGCTACTGTTCAGCTGATATCAAAATAAAATCCCTTGTGATATACGTTGATACCTTGTGGAGGAATGATACCTTGTGGAGGAACGATAAAAAATATCCATTTCAGTCAGCAACTTATGGCTTCAATACAAAGTCACTTAACAGATTAATGATCAGAAAAACTAAACTGAAATATCCAATAAATTTATTTCATTAACAATACAAGGAATATATATCATTATATATATATATATATATATATATATAAACAAATTAACAAGATAAAAATTAACAGGTACCTCTTAAAATCAATTTGAACTAAAAATCATAACAAAACAATACATCTAATACAAGGAGTGATTAAATAGAACATAAAAGATTATAATTACTATAACTATATACCTATAGGCATGATGAGATTACTTTCCTATTTTGTAAAAAAAAAAAATTTAAACAGGAGATAACAATCATTCATGTAATAGGTTATGGCAGTTTTATTGTAAAACTTGAATGCACCAAAGTAACAAAAATGATTAAAAACGAAAACAAGATGCCCAAGGCCCTTAACGATCACCTAGGATCTATTTAAGCTGTTCATTTGCTTATAACGTTCATATAATAAAAATCATATTGTTAACCAAGTAAGATAATTTGAACTTAATTGTACATATACTGTTAATGTTAACATATACTGTTAATGTTAACATATACTGTTAATGTTAACATATACTGTTAATGTTAACATATACTGTTAATGTTAACATATGTTAATGTTAACATATACTGCTGTTCATATACTTGCTTATAAATGTTAACATATACTGTTAATGTTAACATATAATAAAAACTCATATTGTTAACCAAGTTAACATATAATGTTGAACTGTTAATGTTAACATATACTGTTAATGTTAACATATACTGTTAATGTTAACATATACTGTTAATGTTAACATATACTGTTAATGTTAACATATACTGTTAATGTTAACATATACTGTTAATGTTAACATATACTGTTAATGTTAACATATACTGTTAATGTTAACATATACTGTTAATGTTAACATATACTGTTAATGTTAACATATACTGTTAATGTTAACATATACTGTTAATGTTAACATATACTGTTAATGTTAACATATACTGTTAATGTTAACATATACTGTTAATGTTAACATATACTGTTAATGTTAACTGTGCATTACATTAAATGCCATCCCATGTTAGGTTTCTAACCAAGTTTGAATCACAAGAAAGTACAGACAAACCTCCTTTCTTGAACTCGCATAACTCAAAGACACCATTAAATTTGAATCATTGCATCGATCCCTGCCTCACTTTACACAAAACATTTCAACTTAATTATCTTGAAGTTTTCCTGTGGCCCCGAAGAATTTGAGATTACCAGGTTCGCCTATATGCTCATATATTCAGTATAAACTATCAACATAATCTCTACCCCATCTTCCAGGTAGAGTGTGAGATCCTGCAGTCATGAAATTCACTATTTTGGTGTAGCACCCAAGGCCTTTCCATCCAGAAAGAGATATGATTCTATAATAACTAGGTGTTGAGAAGAAAATTTCTGAAATTTGAATAAACCTTTTGCTATGGAAAGATTATGTAAAAAATTCATTAAAAATTATTCAGGCACTTTCCATAAGAAGTTGAAAATGTTTATTATTGTTTAGGATGAACAACGCATGACAGATAATGGGAGGACAAAAGACGATTGTGATAGGTCATCTTGAGACTTTGTCTTAGGTGTCTTCAGTAACAAAAAGTTCAAAATTAAAGGTAGAAAATACACACACAAATACAGGAAGTACAACATGTTAAGAGAAGTTACTACCATACTTTATATAGGTATGTTGTTCATACAAAAATCATACATATATCCGATTGAAGAGGAGATGATGAAAGGTTATATATAAAATTATTTGTTCATGCAAGCTTCACTCCATACCATTCAATCCTGTTAAAAATAAATGTTTCTTTAATCAGAGAAGCATCATATTTTTTTTTAATTTTCCCAAAAAACTTTGCTGATTGTTTAATCAAATCATAGTTTCAGTGTAAATCACTGACTATTAAAATTTACATTTACTAAAAACATAAGAATTACAACACAATGAGATACAATCCCAGCTGATCAGGACAGAGATTCACCACATATCAGAAATAACCCCCCTGCATCATGGTAAGTCCTATTCTTGGAATAGCAATAGAGGCATTCAATGTGACATCATGAGGTATTCTTATACATGATCAAATTCAACATTAGATTAAAATCCTCTCAGAAATGAAAGTTCTATAAAATGTGCGATCATACACACAAACAAATGTATATACAAACTATTTCCTATGCACGAATTAATGTAATTAGTGATAATTTAAACAATAATTTCCTTGATGGTTTTTAACATGGCTGAAGATGTATAAGCTACAACTCCTCCATCATTACACCATTTGTCTGCTCCACTGGCCCCAGGGCGGTCAGCCTTATGGTAACGTATTTGCAAGTCTCTGACAAGAGTCTCTGAACCCTGTAAATCTGCATCCTTTAAGTTCTTGAAACTGATCAAGCCACCACCAATTGACAAAAGTATTGCATGGGGTCCACATGCATCCCACTTGTATGTACTACTCTTAGAAAGGATGTAAGAGTCTGCAAGACCCTGAATTGCACAGAGAAGCTTGTATCCAGCACCTGCAGCGTAATGGATGGAACTCTTTTTCCTGAAGGTGTTTTGGACATCTTCACTTTCACTTGTACTCATCAGAATGATTGGTTTATCTCTAGGATTATTGATGGACTCTTTAGAAAGAGAGTTAACTCTTGTGTCACCAACACAAACACCCCACATACTTTCACCAATCCATCTAAAAAATACATAGATACAATAATATCAAAGCATATCTTATGAATTATCTGATAGTTTTTCTGGGCTAGAAAAAAAAAGAAAACGATTAGTCTCTCTTTATTTTATTTTTTTTACATCCTTGAAAACAGTTTAAATTATAGCCCTACTAGACAAAAAACTTTGCAGAAAATAATTGTGAAATTTTCTTAAGTAGCCAGATAAAAATGGTACCTTTCAGACAGAGCATCATATGTAGCGAAGGGTTGGTTTGTGACCCCTACCAGGGGTAACCCTGTGTGTTTATTGTAAACCCCTATGATAACAACCACACATTGCAGACCCTCCGAAGCTATACCACAGTCCTCTATAGTTCCTTGTAGTCCTCCTATGTACTGAGCTGTTGAATCTACAAGTACAGCAAGATTGAATATATAAATAATGGAACTAGGAAACAAAATACTAAATTACAATGAATATGAACATATGTAAGGCTACAACTGATGGCTATGACAGTGAAGCTGTTGAAAAATATATATCTGACAGCTAGCCCAGAGGTCATTAGGGCTCACAAGGAACCTCGAAACTCTTTCGACTGGAAACAAGTTCAAATTTAAAGGACTAAATGATTAGATGCATTTGATTTCGGGCAGGCATTGTAATACTTACAACTAGACTCTTCACAAAATTATAACACCCTTTGAGAGAAATTGATAAAGATTATCAGCTGCAAACTTTAAAATATTATAATTAACAGAAAGTACACAATGATTAACAGACATTTTTTAGTTATGAAATGAATATCTAACTATTTAGTCCCCTTAAGAGAACAATACACATCTACTGTTTTGCATTCAAAATAAAAACAAAGCCCTGTAATGAACTCGTCAGTGTTGACCTTCGACCTTAATCCATGATCACTGACCATCAAAATCTAATTAAGTGTAAGCCTTGATGGTATGAGGCTACAGTGAGAAAGTGAACTGAATTGATCTGTTCAGGGCCAGGGGCTCATGTGATATCTTGTACATAAGGTTATCAAGGACAGACACCTGAAGGCAAAGACAAAGAAGTTACCCGATATGTTTCTTGAATAAGGCATGGAAAATGGTGAAAATGAACATGCCAAATGTTGAAATACACTGATCCTTAAAGTAGGTATCACATATTGTTTGCATGCTGATTATGGATAAAAAGGATATTGTCTTTATCATCTTTTAACATCCATAAGTCATATTAGCTGTCAATGGATCAGTTTGAAAGATGATGTCGATAATATAAATGTAAGCACTGTTGAAATGCAGTCTACGAAATGACTGAAAAATGGCTGATTAAGGGTCGTTTCATAAAATTTTGTTCTTAAATTGACACTGTGGACTGAAGTTTAATCTAAGGCTGTGGTAGGACTTATTCATTTAAACTGATCAACTGGGGAAGTAGACTAGTTTCTCCTTTTTTCTGCTGGCAGATCAAAGATTCTGGCCCAGTGACATCTTACACTACCCTGAATTCTTCTTATCAGGAAAACCTGCTTTGTGTATTGACATTAGTCGGCATGTTGCTGACTTGATAGAGACCAGCTTTTCTGTATTACATGCAATACATGTAGGATGGAACTGCCTCCGAGAGAGAACTAATACTGTCAAATTTTCAAATTGAATTGAATTTTTGAGGAAAAAACTCTTTTTTATTAGACATATAATTATTCTTATTTTCTAGTTACCATCATCATCAAAATAGCCATTTGTCTTCAACTAAACAAATGTTGGCTATGTAAGGAACCAGAAAGATAGCCACTGTATGAGATACAACAAGTGTTTTTCATATTCATCCTGAAACAAGCCCAGAGGCCAACACAATCTGACACAAAGCCAGCAGGGCATTGCACTGTTTTATAACTTAACTGAACGACAATGTATATGAGTTGACATATTACCAGGCTTGTGTTTAATGCCTGATTAAGATAGAAGCAAGCATACCTATTGGATCAATCCAGACTCCTAAATCCTCTACATCCTCTTCAAGTCCTACCAACTTTTCCAGTCCATTGCCAGTGTCCACCACAACTGACTCATGTGCCTCTCTCGCCAGTAACTCTGCCGCTCGCACATTTCCATCCAACACCTGACCTACAATTCAAGTCACAGTTTAGACTGTTCAAAATATCTGTTCCTCCAGACTTTATGCATGATCAGTGTTTTATAACACTGTACTTTACTTTAAAAGTTATCTTCTTGCCAACTCTTTGAAATTTTTCGAAGAATTCTAACAAATTTTTCTGGTTAAACTCTGTTATTATAAAATTACTAGTTATTGATATAACACATATTCATGCATAATGACAATGCAGACAAAATTCAAGACAATTTTTTTTGAGGCAAAAGCCCTCTTGATCAAAACAACACAAACATTTATGAAAACATACAAAGCATTGAACAATGTTTGAAAACCAGACATTAAACTGGAATTTAAATAATTGTGCCTCTGGAATATCATATTAGATATCAGAATGTCAGAAACCTTACTGAGGAGATCTGTTGTTTGTTGTTTTGTGGACTGGATTTCCACAGTGATAGATTCGCCCAAAGCATTTGTAAATGTATTACTTTCCTCTCCGTAGATACTTCCTTTAATGTCTGGAATCTGTTTAGGAAAATAACATTACCAATGTATTGACTTGCAAACCATGATGAACAAACATAGTATATATATATATATAAGGGACTCACTCCTCTCTTTGATGACTGCTTTTACGTGTTGATTTTCAACTGATAAAATATTTTCTTCCAAAGTCAAAAGTTTCTATTTTTAAGAGACCACCATTGTTCGATCTTTATTAGTTCTTTAAAATAAGTATCTTTTCCTTTTCTTCTTTTTCATCCTCTGTTCTTGCTTTTAATTTGAACATTTCTTTGCAGGAATAGCGACAATAATCTATGATGGTTGCTTGTCAGTCATTTTGTTTTCTGATCCGTCCCAAAATTAAGCAAGCACAACTAGGGACCAAGGGGAACCTACATATGATGATTCGCCAGGCATTTCATTTCTCTCACCAGTCCCAAAATCAAAAGGGTACATGTACAACTAGGGACCATGGGGAACCAACATATGATATTTGAGAAACATCCATCCAGTACTTCTAAAAAAATAACAATAACAAACTTTCTTTTTCAAAATCAAAGATGGTTGCCTGTTGACCAGTTCTTCTACCTTTTCTGATCAGTCCCAAAATGAAAAGGGCACAACTAGGGACCAAGGGAAACATGCACATGAAATTTGAGAGAGATCCATGCCGTACTTCGCAAGAAATAGCAATAACAATCTATATTGTAAAAATCAAAGCTAGTCCACTGTCAGCCATTTTGTGCTTGTGATCAGAACTAAAATTAAACAGACACAACTAGTGACCATGAGGAACCTATACATGAAATTTGAGAGAGATCCATTCTGTACTTCTTAAGAAATAGCGACAATGAAAAAATGCTTACAGACTGACGGACAGAATAAGAACTAGGGACGTAGAACAATTTTAATAACCCACCACTGTTGATGGTGGGCTAAAAATACCAAAGGTAAGAATATCTGAAATAATGGCAGTTTAATGGAATCAATCCATGTAGTTTCACATAATGGAAAAATCTTTCCATGATGAAAAATTAAAGCAAGAGGCCCATGGGTCTTAACGGCCATCTGAATATAATGACCTATATATGAAAGAGGCAAAATAGGCCTTGAATAAATTGCTCAATTACTCTACCGCTTACATAGAAGACAATGTTGGTTCATCAAGATATTTTCTGCAAACTTGAAATCATATTCTTTATACATGAACTACACAATTGCCATTACTCTGGATGTATTGCTTGCTGAAAAAAGCAAGCTACAGGCCCAATATCAAGTCTCTTTGCCTTTTGTTTATTGAGAAGAAGTTGCTTAAGCATTTCAACACATTTGAGTGAAAGTCATTAAAACATTTTAAAACATTTGATACTTGTGATCTTGAAAGTGGGTCAATGTCATTGTCTAAAACCCCTGTTTGGAGCCCTGCTCCTTAGTCGCTAGGTGTTGAATGAAGTTTCCGAAAGAATTTTTTTTCCACTATCAATGATGTTTCAGACTAAATTTGGTTGATGTCCATTCAAACATTAAGAAAAAAGTAGCATTTTGAAGCAAAATATTGATTAACTTTCCTATTTTGGGCCCCACCCCCAGGTCCCTAAGGGTTGAATCAATCTCCTGAATTTATGAAATAATTCTCCACTCTCAATGATGTTTCAGACCATATTTGGTTGAAATCCAGTCAAGCATTAAAAAGGAGTAGTGTTTTGAAGCAAAATATTGTTTAATTTTCTTTTATTGCGCTCTGTCCCCATGTTCCTAGGGGATGAATCAACTTTCTGAATTTAAGAAATGATTTCCAACTATCAATGATGTTCAGAACAAATTTGGTTGAAGTCCATTCTGGTATTAGATAGGTGTAGAGTTTTGAAGCAAAATATTGACTTAATTCCCATTTTGGCACTCCGACCCTAAGTCCCTAGGAGTCAAATCAACTTTCTGAATTTAAGAAATGATTCTCCACTCTCAATGATGATGCAGATCAAATTTAATTGAAATCCATTCGAGCATTAAAAAAGGGTAGTGTTTTGAAGCAAAATATTATCCTATTTTCCCTTTGGGCCCCACCCCAAAGTCCCTAGGGGTCGAATCAAATTTGTGAATTTAAGAAATAATTGTATACCCTAACTAATGAATCAGGCAAAAGCTTGTTGAAATCCATCCTGGCAGAAAGGAAGAATAGGGCTTTAAATCTAATTTCAGCACCTCCATTTTTGGAGCCCAGTCCCTCGACCCTTATGAGTCAATTCAAAATTCTGAATTTAACAAATGATTAACCTCACCAAGTGATGCATCAGACCAAATTTGGTTGATATCCATCCAGGTATGAAAGAGGGGTAGGGTTTTAAAGAAAAAGTTTACAAATGACACAGTCGAAGCATGATGGCTATAGGTCACCTCGACTCTTTGGGTCAGATGATCATGATCTAAAAAAGAAAATAATAATAGACTGTGTATTAACCAAGGGGACATAACTCTATATCACAGTCCTAATGAAGACTCCTACATCCTGAGAGATAATGGATACCAAATTGCCAACGGCAGATGAAGCTACATGTATAGTGAATCAAAGATGTAATAGATAGAAAATCTAATGATTTCCTAGTGAATATGATACTTTTTTCACATGTACAACAAAAGAAATACTGATTTTCTTCATTTATACTCATTATCAATTTATATTTATCCTTGTTGTTGGCCTAGATGAACAAAAGTTTTCCCTTTGAAATGGAACTGAGTAGCTTTAGAAAGTTTGGGTGGTTAGGCATTAAATGTGTAGTGACTATAGATATATCAGCTGATGATGTTGTGTTGTCACTAACTCAGCATACACTGGTATCAGGAGGACATCAGTCCTTTAAAAAGGAATTTTGGTCCTGTGTCATATATGCGTATTCATTTCAAGTACATACTGTAGTACATGTGTAACAGGAAGAAGTGAAACAAAAAAACAAACACTCTGTCACTCCACTAAAGGGAAATTGTCACTAGTCTGGACTGGTAAGGTAATGGCACTCTATTTTCATATCATGGCCTTAAACAAAAATATCTACTTCTACCAAAGACTTAAAATAGGAATGAATTATAAACCTACTTCTTCTGAAAGGTCATGCCTTACAATCTCTTGAACAAGAACATCAGCAAGAGTTTTAAAATCTTGGACAAATCGCTGGTTTTTGGAATCTCCTTTTTTTTCCTCCACCAGAAGATTTAATAAATCTGCATCAGATCTGATTATCCTAGCAACATTGGCCCCTTTTTCTGCCGTGTTGACCAGTAGCTTCAACAAATTAGCTATGCCTACTTTCATCTTTCTGCAACATAAAAAATAATGTCCATTAAAATTACCATTGTTCATCAAAGGGGATGCTAAGAAAAATCTCAGTATTAAAGAAAACAATTTGAACATTCAAGTATTATTCTAATAATGTTGTGAATTATGACAGATATTTGAGTTCTGCATGAATGATTTTCCTGTGTACCTCTCACACATTTTGAAAGCCAACTATATACATAGACAAATAAAAAAGCATTACATTTAGGTCTTTGGGCAAATGTACTATACATACATCTCTTAAACTTGGTAATTGCATGGACTCATCATTAATGTAGTCAAGGATATAGTAAACAAGAAAATGGCAATTTCTTAATTGAACTAGAAAAAAGAAATCAATGATGAAGAATAAAAAAACTCAAAATAAATAAATAAATCAGACTTGCCACTGGACAACATGCATTGAAATAAGCCAAGGGTCCATTCAAGGTGCCTTTTTCATGCCATCAAAACCTCCCTTTATATTACCTATATCAATTGAATATGATTAACAATATCACATTGATACTACAGCCAGACAATTGTTTTGCGTTTTTGTTTTTTAATCTATTAACTTGCTGGTAACTTTATAAATATACTGTTAACTACACCTGGTCCAGTGGATAGTAACAGGGCAGTAGGACCCAGCAGGTACATCCAATCTCATTTACAGGTAAAATTTACCTTTGTGTTTTTCAAAGACGTCTACACCAGGTATTAATTAAAGAAACTTAAACCATCACATTTTTTGTCTTAATTTATTGATATGACACACCTACAATTCTCACAAGAACACAAACATTCATGCACATTGGGTTATTCAAACACCATGCTTTCATTAGCAGACCTACTTCAATATATGTTTTGCAAAGAGAATGTGGGCAAGGTCAGATTGGTAATAATCGATCAACAAGAGATGAGGTCAGGTTATCCTAAAGTGGATGGAGGAGGGGTGATAGTAATTACAAATCAACAAAGGGTGATGATAAGTCATTATATGTGGGAAGAGGGAGGAAATTGTAACTGTCACTGTAAATTTAGAGAGGGAGAGGGTAGAATTTATTGTGGATTAATCAACAAATTAGTCTGAAAGAAATAAAGGATGTTATAGTAAAACCAAAGTTGAGGAGGGCGTATTACCGGATGTATGGAAGGAAGCAAAAATTACAGCTTTATACAAAAAGGGAGATAAAAAGCAAGCAGGTAACTACAGACCAGTTAGTTTGACTAGTGTTATATGTAAGGTGATGGAAAAGGTCGTTCGCAAAAAGATAATGGATCATTTAATAAAAAATCAGTTACTGAGCAACGGTCAGTTCGGGTTTGTGAAGGGAAGATGTATTACCACTTAATTTTTAATCAACAAAGTCAAAGGGTGGCGACGAGTCATTTTAAATGGAGAGAGGGAGGAACAGTTAATTTTTAATAAACAAGAGGTGAAGTAACGTTATTTTTAAATGTTTATCCAAAACGCCCCTGGTTTGAATGAGGGTGTTATCATTATCATATCAGTTGTGTCATTTTTCCTTCTAAATTATGCTCCCCTCTAAAAACTTTAGAACAATAAAACCTCTAGATTTTTATTAAGCATGTAGGGTATGTTCGAGTCCATTTGGTGAAGACAACCGAGTACCGACTCACTTGGACTGTGTGATTGCCATAAACTGTAAGTTAAATACGTTAGATAATAAACAAAGTAAAGCGTTCTTTTAATTTAAATCGGGCAATGTAAGGTATCTTATTAGGAATAAAACTCGTCATAACAAATTCTGTAATTGAGATTGTTTACCTGCAGAACCGGTGTGTGTACTACGTCATCATTTATGTTGAAATCCACAATGCATTGCGGCATATTTTTGCAAAACATGATAGCAATGTAGTACCATCAAAATCCACTATTTTTAACGCCGTTCAGAATGCATCAAACCTAAAACTAGTCATGGTCGAATAATTAAATAATCAAAATTTGGGAATCTCGTAAAATTTTATATCAAAACTATCAACTTTACGTAATATCGAAGAGTTTTCCTGACCAGCTGACTTGTAACCAAGTGGTAGGCCTGCAATACACGGGTCGTACACATCAGCGTTTGGGGAAACCGCTGACGGTGATTCCGTCGAAAGGAAAGGCGATTTGAAACAAGAACCAGAAATATTCATATATCACCACAGCAATGGACTAAAAGTGAGTTATTTAATGTAATATTGCCAAAATGCGTTGTGTAAAGTGACATCTAGTGTGGATTTCATTGCGACGTGGATAATATGAGGAGATAACTCTAAAGACAAAACACCATGTGTGCGTAACTGGTTTCAACATAATGCCAAGGAAACCTACGAATCAATCCCAATCGTTTTTTGATGAATTTGATGCAAGATCGTATCGACATTTAGTGAATAGAGGACAAGACATTCCAGGACACCATGGTCCATCTCAGCCATCACAAACTCAACAATCTCAGTCTTCAAGTTCCGGCAAAAAGCGGAAGAAACAAAAGCAGAAATCCCATAAAAAATCGAAAGAAAAGAGCGAAAGGCATTCTCAGGAAAATTTACGGATACCACTGGAATTGAAAAATAAATCAATTGTAGCGTATGATGACATTAGTTCAGACTCTGACATTTCCAATAATGGACCAGCTTCGCCTGTAAATCGTGTTCATAGTAATAATAGTAGTAGGGATGCATCGAAAAGGTCCATGTCTCCTGGGTCCAACATGAGGGGATATTTACCTGAAAGGAGCCCGAGTATGTCTCCAAATAACATACGTGAACCGTCTAGTCCATCACATCCGCCCATGCGAAGTTCAAGCAGGAAACACCAAAAGAAAAGACCACTGTCGCCACAAGAACTCCAAGTGCCAAAGGACCATCCAAAAAACTATTCTGGTGGCAACAGTGTTCCTACACCAAAGGCATATAATATGCCCCCGAAAGCTTATAATCCACCCAAGGCGTATGCTGATCCACCACGTGCTTATAGTGGATCATTTAATAGAGACCATAGTCCTTTGGAAAGTCCACGAAAACGCTACAGATCTCGTTCACCAAGTCCGGCATATATGGCGAGGAAAAAAAACAGGTAACAATCATTCATCATATTCATGCAATGTGGATAGGTTAACTGTAGCCTGAGGACTTTTGAGTAATCAGGACATAGTCCAAAGGGTTCTGACTATCATTCCACGATTATATTTTTTCTTGCTCGTGGTCGATGTTTAGAATTCCTCACTTTATGAAATTGCCAAATTCAAGCGACCCCATCTAGGGTCGGCATTCAAGCGACCCCATCTAGGGTCGGCATTCAAGCAATGTTTTATTAAGTTTACATCATTGTGATAGTTATAAATCATACATCGATGGAATGATAATTTTGATGAGTCAGAATTTCATGCCATAAAATTTGTTCATATGAGACAACCATTTTTGAAAATTTGAAAAGTAAAAACCATGACGTAGTAAATATCACATCATTAAATGATGTTGCATCCTGACCATTAAAAGAGAAGATAGTTTTGTTTTAAATGATGGGAGAAAATACAACTGATTTATGTTGAGTTCCTGGATATAACAGGACGTCTAAGACTGTTCATTGTGGAGAATGATGTATTTTCTTGCCAAATTCATGAAAAATTTACATAAATTTAAATAAGTTATTACCATGAACATTAATAACTTCAAATTTAGGCCATCAAAATAAAATTTATACACTTCAGGAATTTACGTACATAACATGTACAGGAGACCAATTTTGCAATCAACAAAGTGTTTTGGGTACCGATCTATGAAGATACCTGTTTTTGTTTATTGCCATATGATAAATCATATCTAGAAATATTTTCAAAATAATATATAAAGAATTTTTTTCTTGACTGATTTTATATACACCTGTGGCCAAGTGTAGTTCTGGTGTCCTGTTAAATCCAGTTCAGAGTCGGAGTCCATATTACATCCCAGCCATAATTTGAAAAAAGATCAATTAAGATACACACAAGATGTTAAATGTTATGTCTTGTGCAGTTGTATTACATATAGAGTATGGTCTGTGCATACTGTATATCTTTATCACAATGGGCGCTAAAACCAATCAACCAGGTTGATAAATCTTGGCTAAAATTTGTCCAGTTACTCCACAATATTTCGATAGGTTACAAGCACAAGTCTAGATAGATCCCACATAGTGGCAACTAATGTAAATATGCTATGAAGCAAAGTCATTGGGAGAAATGAGTGGAAATACTTGGTTGACAACATTTTATTGCTTTGACACATATATGATAGTAATGTAACCACATTTACTCATGGTGTGCACAAATGCATACATCAAGTGTTGTGGTACGCAACATACATAGTGTGGGCTCTCGATCCCTCCCACTTGTGAAGGCGGTTGAAATGTGGTTGAAAGACTGGCTAAATACCTGAGCTTTCACCTGTATACTGACACCAGCTCAACAGTGTGGATGGGTGTTGAGGATTTATGAGACATATGACTTGTCTAACTAACATATGCATCTGTACTGCAATAACCAAAATACATTAATTACTGCCTTTGTGTTTCTTTTATTATAGTCATCGTTCTTCGTCCATTGTCCTGTGTCATGCATAAAGTTTTCCTTCAAAACCCTACTCTTCTTTCATACCTTGATGGATTTCAACCAAATTTGGTCTGATGCATCACTTGATTAGAGTAATCATTTGTTAGATTCAGAATTTTGATTCAACCCCTTGGGGTTGAGGACAGGGACCCTTACAGGGAGGTGCTGAAATTAGATTTAAAACCCTGCTCCTCCTTTCAGGAGGGGTTGATTTGAACAGGCTTTGGCCTGATTCCTATGTTAGGGTAGGCAATTATTTCTTGAATTCAGAAATTTGATTCAACCTCTAGGGACTTTCAGGCTACGCCCCAAAGAGAAAATAAGACAATATTTTTTTTTCCAAAACACTATTCCTTTTGAATGCTTGAATGGATTTCAACCAAATTTGGTGTGAAACATCATTGAGAGTGGGGAAACATTACTGAAAATCAGACAGTTGATTTGACCCCTAGGGACTTTGGGGCAGGGCCCCAAAAGGGAAAATAAAACAATATTTTGCTTCAAAATGCTATTCCTTTTTAATGCTTGAATACATTTCAACCAAGTTAAGTTTGAAATATTGAGAGAGGAGAATTATTTCTGAAATGCAGGAGGTCAATTCAACCCCTAGGGACCTGGGGATGGGCAGGACTAAAATGGGAAAGTTAGTCAATAATTTTCTTCAAAATGCTACTCTTTCCAAATGCTTGAATTAATTTCAACCAAATTTGGTTTAAAACATTGAGAATGAAGAATCATATCTTTAATTCAGAAACGTGATTTGTTCCCGAGGGACCTGGGGATGGGCGCAGCTGAAAATGGGAAAGTTAGTCAATATTTTGCTTCAAAATGCTACTCTTTCTTAATGCTTCAATGGATTTCAACCAAATTTAGTCTAAAACATGGACAGTGGGGAATCATTTCTTAAATTCAGAAAGTTGATTTCATCCCTTGTTAATTAGAAGGACAGTGGCCCACTCAGGAATCAAATGTGTTGAAATGCTGAAGCAACTTCCTCTCAATTACTGAAAGGCTCAGAATGCTATTAGGCCTGTAGCCTGCTAGGATTTAGGGCTACCATCTTTGTTAATATGAATGACATTGACCCAATTTCAAGGTCACGGGTGTAAAATGTGTGAAAATTTTTAAATGACTTCTTCTCAATAACCAAAGGGCCAAGGGTACAGATATTGGACCAACTTTCAAGGCAATAGGAGTCAAATATGTTGAAATGCTTAAGCAAATTCTTCTCAATAACTGAAAGATCACGTGTCTTGATATTGGGCCTGTAGCTTGCTTTTTCAACAAGCAATACGTCCAGAGTAATGCTGGGTTTTCCATAAGAGCCGGTCACCGGCCAATTTGACCGGCTACTTTGATCATTTGGCCGTCTACACCAATCCAGTTTTGTAATAATGTTCCATACACGACTACACGTACACGGCAGGCCAGCCTCCTATTTTCACTACACAGCCTACTACTAACAAAATTATGGAAAACCCTGGTAATGGCAATGATGTAGTGCATGTATAAAGAATATGATTTCAAGTTTGCAGAAAATGTCTTGATGAAGCAACATGGTCTTCTATGTAAGCAGTAGTAGATGAGGATTTTAAAATATCTTGATGAGCCAACATGGTCTTCTATGTAAGCAGTAGTAGATGAGGATTTTCTTTTAGGCCTATTTTGCCTCTTTCATATATAGGTCTTTATAGTCAGATGGCCTTTAAAGCCCATGGGTCTCTTGTTGATAGCGACAGGACATATCATTATGACACAATTTACTGTATTTTCAGGATTATAAGCACACCTTTTTTTCTTGTGAGTTGGGCATACAGCTTATATATTGGTGCAGCTTACATGAGGGGAAAAAAAGGATAGGATAAAAAATTTTTAAAGAAGTCAAAGTACACCAGTACAAGATGGTATACTCCTATACCACTCCTATAACATAAGAGGCCTCTGGTAGGCTGTTTTATTGTCCTCCATTATTGTGCTGACTTCAACTACAAAGTGCTTCTGTAAAACCTCAAACATTATTGGAGTAGAGATGGTTCAGGGTTTTTTTAGGAATATCTGCCCTTAACCTGTATGACTGAAATGGATCGTGTACAGGATTATTTGAAGATTAAATTTAAAGTAACATTCTCATGGATTTAATTAATCGTACCTTTTAATATAAATTGCAATAATATCTTCTGGACTTTCTTGGTTACTTTGAAACCATAATGCAAGTTAAGTCAATATGTCATCGAGTTATAGTTCTAATTCTGGAATGATCGCCATTGCTTGTTTACGATATGAATGACTTCGTGTATCTTACAAGAAGAAATAATATGAGACTATAAGAATTTGTTCAGCATGCAAGGGCCTCTGTTAATATTAACAGTACAGACATTGATGGAAAGATTGTTTAGTAAACTGTTAATAATGTCAGACCTTCTATTTGTGCATAGACAATCTGTGAAAGCACCCAAGCTTGGACCTAAAATTGATTTTTTAAAAAAAATAATTAACACAGACCTGGTAATACGATCATGATGATAAAATTACAATTTTCAGTATTATTAAGCAATTTACTTGATTGTTTTTGCATGTTTATACAAAGCAAAAAGACATAACATGGTAGTTCGTTTGATATGAGGACAATTACAAAGCAAATGGCAACTATTCAGGCTTTGCCTATTAAGAACATGAAATAAAACTAAATGTTAGAAAATTAGAGAAGTATGATTTATCTGTATAAATAGCTGTCTAATGGAGGACAGGTACAGATGTTTTCGTCATGTGCATTTCACAGAAAGTGAATCAAATGAACAAATGTTAAAAGTTCTTGAAACAGAAGGATAAATGACTCCAGAATCAGTGAGTCTGTTTCTGAATATGCTTCCAGAATATACATGAGCATATGTATCAGCAGTCCATAACAAATCGGTTGACTTTGAGCTTCACTTCCTTTCCTCCTTCTGTGGGCCTAGGTGCTACCTTGCTGACATGAGGATAAATTGGGTACTTTGATGTTAAATTTCTTTGCAGGCTAGTGGATGCTGATATTTGTGCATGTGTCTGTTTTGATGATCGTTCAATGTTTTGTATGAGAAGGAAAAGTTCAAGGGTTGTTTCGAACTTGGCGTTATAGGATTGGGCGTACTGTGTAGTGACTGACATGCTGAAACAGTTGTGGGCAAGTTCTTATCAGATGCTGTGACATTCAATGTCATGTACTGGAAGTTAACGTCATAATCAATATTTCTTCTGCAAATTCAATTGATCAAATGTCCTCATAGTCTACAGTAAGTACTTTGTATATATATCAATATTGGTATATAGGTAGCAGTAAACTTGAATGAGCACTTTTTACAACATTCAGTCTGTAACCATACATGGCAACTTTGCCTTAATTAGGATTGAATTTTAGTTCTAGTGCACATTGTAAGTTTGGCATGAAAATGCTTTTGTTTCAGTCATACACACAAAATGTATACACTTTTCTCTGGAGCATTTGTTGCCGTTGGTGGTTACAAACAGTAGTTTCAATTATGTCACATACTAAATATACAGCAAATCTTTGTGTCTCTAATTAGTTAAAACAACACAAGTCAAACAATGTATTTTAAATTGATAATTAGCTTGTGATTTTTTATTAGCTACATCATCTGAAAAATAAACAAGTCTTCGTCAAAATCTGACTGGTTGCTGGTACAACACATACTAGTGGTATGATAATAGGTTGAGTTACTCTATCTTATGATAGCTTTGCTCTTGATAGCAATAGGTTTATAGCATATTTTCAAGTCGATAATAGTTTGCTTAAGTATCGATTATCAACAATAGTTTTATAACTAAACAAAAATGTTGCTTCAAAGCAAGATTGTTTACTGAGATAATGCCATTTGGCTGCAAGCATTTGTTTATTTATGAAAGTGTCTTTGGGACTTCAATCAGGGTAGTGCTAAATACAAGAACAAGCACTATCACAGATTTAGAATCTTTACAGAATTTTCAGCACAAGTTGTTACATTGAAGAGAATTTATATTGTTTCCAATATTATATATTAAAATTTACAAACCTAAGTAGAGGAGGTACTAACCTCTTTAACTCTGAGTCCATGTTTTAGACCAATCCTTGAAATGACCTATTTCGATAAACAGCATGAGGGAACATAGCATTTTAAGTCTAGTCTGTTACATATTGGCTACATTCTAGGTAATACAGGCTAACAGGATACAATAAGTATTGCATATACAGGGCTCTCACACCCCATTTTGGGACTGGGGCCCGGGGCCCTTAGAATTGGGGAAAATAATGGTGTTTTCATTAGAATTGGGAAAACTTCGGGTCTACATTTTGAAAAAAAGATACTATTTTGCATTGGGTATTTGGCCCCAAATCTGGCAGATTGAGAGCCCTGATATAGTAATTTGCGATACTATTACTACTATAAAATATTAATTTTACTATTGCACTACTATCGTGGTAGCTGGTTTGACCTCAATAGTCAACCCTAACAATAACTATATCCTGTTAGCCTGTATTACCTAGAATGTAGCCAATATGTAACAGACTGGTCATCACTACTCTGTCCAGCTGTAAACTTTCACACTTGTCATGTAATAATCCCTTATACTTGATTCGCTGACATTGGATGATATTGTTGACACACCCAGGTTGAAACATGAGCCACACTTATCCCCTTTACCCAGGTGACACTCTACACCCAAGGGCAATTTGAGTGCCACAACACTTTAAACATATTTCATTCTTGTTTTATTTTGGCAATAAATAGCACTCTATCAAATATATTTAATAGTTTAATTCTTGCTTTAATCCTAAAAAATCAAAAGTAGAATAGGAGTCTGCCATTTGGTTGTCAGTGTAAACAACCTGGCCAGGGGTCGACATAAACTTTTTTCTGTACTTGTAAAGTTACAAATAAATCCACTTGTCGGAAAGAAGAAGTTATTTGTCCCAATTGATAACTTTTAAGTTTAAATTGTGTGTTTTAGATATGTTTGACAATTATTGAACACAATAAGTAATCACAACAATACACTGCAGTAAATTACAGGTATTTATCAGTGAACATTGAGTTTGGCTCCTCTGCTAAAGTTTTGTAAAGTCTACATATACCAGAATACATCACACTTGATAAGCTGCCATCGCTAACGCTGGAATAGGGGCAGAAAGTATCAGCCTCTGTCACCACCGTATCTCCATCTTCATCTGTTTGTTTCATCTTCATAATACAGTCCTTTAAATTCACTTTTCCAAGAACCTTGGAATTTCTTCAACTGTTTTTTTCTGCATGTAACAATTTTGGTCATATTTTTTCAAATTTTCATTTTTCCATTTTCAATGCAAATATTCTGTAGCATAATTTCTAGAGATATGGTGTTTGTTTGAGGTCATAATATTACAAGAGTGTTTGCTGATGTTCTGATGAGGGCTAGTCTGAATCAAACAAAGAACACATGATTGAGAGATGAATTACCATGATTCTCATGCTTTTAAACTTCAAACTGAAAAGCGACATTTTGTTTTAAAATTCTATAAATAAGACCTAACTTAGTAATCATTACAACAATGGCGGTGGTGAACATCCTACAATGTCGCATTATCTTTGATTAAATATCATGACTTGTAAGTAAGCAATTAGATTCTAATCTGTGTCCATGTTTAATTTACCTTGTAACACAGAGCCAATAATAGCAGACCATCATAATCCCATTGTCAGGTAGCACAGCCATTCTTTGTTGAAATTTGTGAAATTTTGTTCCGATGTGAAAATACCTGTACTAGAATACAGATAAATGTTCTGTTCGACTGTATATATCACTAATGTGAAAATGCTGTTTATTTACACTGTGAAGCACACCATTTTTTTGTTTCACTTTTTTTGCAGTCTAAGATTTTGTGTTGGGTAAAAATCTCCTATCTTTACACATAGTAAAGACAGCAGCCATATTGCCTGCATGAGCAGGAAGTTAAGCTCTAGTGAGATTTTAATGTAAAATTTAGGATATAGTATCAAACTTAAAAAAAGAAATAAGTGGACTTGGGCTCATTTGCGACAAAAATGTACAGAAGCTTATATATAGTCACAAAAGGTTTATTAGATTTTAAGTTAGATTTGATCTCAATGATATGACTATGATGTTACTAGGTAATATTGAAAATTAAACCTTGTACACCATGTGAGTCACACAGACCCATTGGGCCTTTTGTTTTTTCATGTTAGAACAGTTTATCTGAATTGTTGTAAGCATCTTATATTTTATTTTTGAGATAAGCTTGGCTAATAATTACAATGCTAACCCTAGTCATGGTCAATTGACCACTTGATACTATCATGTTCATTGTTCAATCTACAATTCATTTTTGTCCTTTTTAAACTTTCTTGTTAATAACAACCAGTCCTATGTAAAATTCAAGTACCAGGTATGTCCAGAAATTCTAGGAGTACAGGACAAGCATGTAGATTTATCATTCCAAATCAACAGGCATAAACTTTGCTTTATACACTGAATGTTTTGGTATAGATTATTCATAATGAATAATTTGAATGTACCATTTTGCATGTGCATTGATAAAAATGATTTCTTCTCACCAAAAGCTTAGGTGACATAATATTTGACTAGTAGCATGCTAGGACAAAGACTGGCAAGGTCAAAATGTGATACTATGACTTTTTAAGATTTTGAGTAACCAAATGCCTATAGTCATGTTAAATTACCAGGAGTTTGGTTCATCATATCAGAACATCACCCCACGAAGATCTATATATATCCTTGGGGGTCATCAGTCAAATTTTAAGGTCAAAGGTCACCTGTGACAATTTCTCAAATAAAACCCCTTACAATTGTGTACTACATATCTCATGATTCTCTGGACAGTTTTACTTCATATTCACTCCTGAGCATTACAGCAGAGATGAATCTACACAAAAGTCTCAAGTTTTGTATCAATTGGAACCTTTTTGAAATGAATAACATTGACATTGCCTCAGTTGTATGGTTAAACTCTTCAAAAAGACGATGGTAAAAAATTAGGTTCAGGTTAACTATGTATACCTGGTTCACTTACAACTTTGAAAGTAACACAAGTGGTTCTGATCTCTTAGCAACTCAATTATTATGTGTGATGATTATCTAAATTAAAGATTCTATTAATTGGAACTAATCACTGTTGCTTGTGTAACCCATGTGCAAGACCGGCTAAATTAATGTTACAACTCCAACCATCATATTGACGATAAAGTTGAACCTCATTACATTTATGTATTTATATATTTCCTCAGTAAATAGAGTTCTTACACTTACATATTTGTTATTAATGTTAGCGGTGGGGAGTAGTCAAATTTGCAAGAGTGATAATCAAAGCTTCATGAATATTACTAATTGATAATGGATTATCACTGTATTAAACCCATAACTTAAATGGTGTTATCAATCAAAAATGACAAAATTGTGGCTATGAATTGGTATTTAGAGCCACATGTTTGTCAGCTTTATTACCTTCCCTCAAGAAGCTGAAAAATTCTTTTTAAGTTATCTTGTTAAAAGATTATTAAGTTGTCTTGCAAGCCTTTTGCTTGATAACATAATAATCTTTGAGTTGAAATCCCATATATCATTTCAGCTCTGAGGGGAGAGAGATTCTATTGATCCTGACCATTACAATATTTGTGAAAAATTGTTTCAAGTGAAATGGTTTCATGGTCGATTTAGATTTATGAACATTTGCATTTTGTGTTGTATCATGGTCATTAAAGTATTCTTATTTACTTTCAGTGCTCACTACAAAGACAAATACTCCAGACATGAAAAATATAAAAATAGGTCAAAATCAAGATCACCAAGTCCTCGAAGTCGATCTCGGAGGGATCAGTCTCGATCACGAAATCGACACTCTCGTTCAAGACATTCTCGTTCACCTGTTGAGCATAGTCCTCCAAGAGGACATTCCTATTCTTCTAGCAATAAAATAAGTCATTCCACTGTTAAATATGCCACAAGTCTTGCAGCTGAGCTCAGCAAGCATCGGCGTGCACGTGAAGCAAAAGAAGCGGCTGCTCTGGCAGCCAAGGGTAGAGAACCAAGAGAGCCACGGGAATCAAAAGAAAGGACTTTGTATCGTGATTCTCCATTAGATGGAAAAGACAATATCATTATCACAAAAGTGGAAAGTGGTCAGCGTAGTGTGAAACAAGATTATAGGCAGCAAGATTATCTAAAGAAGCAGCATGCTATGAAAGCATCACCAACTCCTCCACCTCCCCCACCAGGCTTACCTCCTCAAAGAAAAAACAGAGTAATAGCACAAATGGAGGACAAGATTGTTGTGAAAGTTGATAATGCCAAAAGGGAAATCATTGACCTTGATAATTTAAATGATCATCATGACCATGATCACAATCATGATCATGGATTTAATCGTGATGATCGTCGTGGACATGGTCCTGAGCGGGACCATCGAGGAGAGGTGCTAGATAGGCGTGGTGACATTTCAGATCGTAGAGGTGATGTATCTGATCGTCGCGGTGAAATACACGATCATCATGGTGATGTACCTGATCGTCGTGGTGAGGTACCGGACCATAGAGGTGAAGTGCCTGAACGTCGCGGAGAAGGACGTGAAAGTCGAGATTCTAGTTATGATAGGCAGATTATCAATCAGTACAGTGGCAGAGGTGACAGACGCAGTGCAATAGACTTTCCTACTTTACCTCGCCTTCCTCTACCTCAGGTGTCCCCAGAAGAGGAGTATGACAGTGATAGCCCATACAGGTCAGTTTACAGCTATTATATATATCAATATACTTGTTAAAAAATCTTTCTGGTTGTTGTATCCTATCTTATGCAATGTATATGTTGCTTGTAATTGCCCAATTTTGAATATGAACACATTTTGTGATAGTGAATAGTAACTGAAATTGGATCGTACACTATTTATATACAGAGTTATGGCCTTTTGTTCATTGCTTGTATATATGAAACTTTTGGTAATTTTGATGGTTAATGCTAAAAACGATGTCCCACAAACAATTCTTTTATTGTAACTGTAATGATGTTCTATTAATATTTGATTGTGATTGAAATTCTTAAATTATTGTAATGAAAATATTGGTTTGTGCTTTATGCATATTAGTATATCAAATAGAGTTAAGGTGCACAGTGAGGATTTTATCATATTTTGTATACTCAGTTTTGTCAGTCATGTCATTGTTAACTGACATGGTGTATGGTGGGGAAATCTGTGAGTGCAGATTTGAAAATTTAGCTTGCTGTTGTAGTGATAATGCACCAACCAGCTTGCCAAAGGAGGAGGTTTACCCACGACAGAGGCGAATCACCGACCTTCCAATGCCCCCTATGATGGATGAACCAGAGATGGACTATGAAGTAGACCATGAACCAGAACCTGAGATTAAACGCGAAACATCAAGCTCTGGCAAGTTCAAGCGCCCAAAGTAAGTGTACAAGGGCAACTTTGATTTCTAGCTCACAAGCTTGTCCTGTCTGTAAACTGTTATACGCATGGTAATTTGCAAATATGATGAAAAACATTCTGGTGCCAATCTTTTGCAGGTTTAATGATTTCAAAATTTGATAGATTTTTTGGCTTTAAAATATGCTGAAACATGTGTATAATGCTTTTAAACACAGGTTTTCAGTGGTCCTTCATGTGCAAAGTGAGTTTTTATTTGACCACCAGACATGATAAGGCCAACTTTGATTTTAGGTAAAAAATTTACCGTCTCCGATAAACATGGAAATCTTGTTTGGTTTAATCAATGCCTGTATGAAGGAAGACTTAACTTTGTGTCTCCGATTTTACCCATTTCACTCCTTTGCAATTACATAAGGTGATACTAAAATGATGGAATCTTGTTAGTTGTTGAAGTTGAAATATCACATTGGTTTTTTCTCGTTTTCATTTTCAGACTATGTCTACAAAGAAGAAATGATGAGCGATCAAAGGGTGACTGGGGAGAGCGTTGTGTGGACCTGTTTAAAACCATAGAGATCATCGGGGAAGGCACATATGGTCTAGTGTACAAGGCCAAGGACACTTTCACTGGTGAGTTGTTAAAGGAATCCTCCACATTTCATTCAGAATTTTTCCATAGATTCTAATCAAAGCTTAAATTCAGAAAAATGAATGAAATGAGGTTTTAGCTAAAAGATTTTCAAGTTTATTGTGATCTGTGTTACTTTCTTGAGGAAAAAAATAGTGAAGCATTTAATGTTTTGAGTTTGTATAGCATTTCCTTTGTATTGATGTTTTTAGTTATCAATTTTTTCTGGCCAGGGATCTCCGAAATTTCGTGTAAAAAATAAACACTGAAAATAAAAAGTCCTAAACTTTGTTGATAATTTTTTAGAGTCACTTGCACATTGCTGGAGTTAGAAATCCAAATATAATACCAAAGCTGAATTCTTCAGGCTTTCCTGACTTGATAGTGTAAACTTGTGAAAATGGTTTAGAATTGGCTGTTAGTGACATAATACTGGCATCCCACTTTCTTATCTCTGTAAGGAAGACTATAGCAAGACCTCCAAAGAATTGCCATATAAATACTTGACATTAAGATTTGAAACAAATAACAGAACCAGAAGATTGGTGTTTGTGCATTAGATATTTGGATAAAAGGAAATTTTTGTTCTTAGTCTCTTAATTTGTTTTACATGTTGTGTTATCTTTTAAAAGATTTGGAGGCTAACTTAATGGTTTTGCATTTCAGATGAACTAGTGGCTCTGAAGAAGGTACGTCTGGAGAATGAGAAGGAAGGTTTCCCCATAACTGCAGTCCGGGAAATCAAGATCCTGCGACAGCTGAACCATCCAAATATTGTGAATTTGAAGGAAATTGTCACTGATAAGCAGGATGCTCTAGACTTCAAAAAAGATAAAGGTTAGTTCCTTCCTTGTGATAACTCATTGCAGAGATGTCGGCACCAGCTAGTTGAAAAAGTATGGATCACAGAGGAAGATTGTGTGGGATATGAAGATATTCAGTGTTTTTCCAGAACATTTGCAGTTGATGATAAAGAGTAAAGCACAAGGTTCTTGAGGGTTGATCAGTGAATTAGAGTATACTAAATTAATGATAGTGTTATAAAGATTTTAGTTTTGTAACTACCATGACCTGAAATCATTAAAAGATTTCAGTTTTGTAACTACCGTGACCTGAAATCATAAAAAGATTTTAGTTTTGTAACTACCGTGACCTGAAATCATAAAAAGATTTTAGTTTTGTAACTGAAAGCAGAGTTTTAAGTTTTAAACTAAGAACCTTCATCAAGGCTGTAATAGATGGATAGTTTGGGAGATATGGTTTAGATGACCTAATCTGAAAAAAACACTTGACCCTTTGAAGTTATAATTGACTGTATTTAGTATGATTATCTAACAATTTCTCTCCTCGGTACATTCTAGAAGCAAATATGTCAACAAAAAAAACCGATGAACAGAGGTTTAATGTGTTGCTTTTTCACTACTTTCAAAACAAACTTTATCTTGTAGTTTGTTCTTTCTCTAGATTAAGTTTCCTTTCATCAACATCAGTGAGATAACTTTGTGTTTTTTAGACATTAATACAGAAGCACACATCATGAAACTTTGCAAATATGTCTGAAGGTTTACAGTGTTTGTTCTTTCTCTAGATTAAGTTTCCTTTCATCAACATCAGTGAGATAACTTTGTGTTTTTTAAATGTGACTGTCACATTTCCAGTTAAAGCTTGGTTTCAGATCTGTGGTCATGAAAAGGCCTACTTGTAAAGACGCTGACCCCGCTTTATGCCCAAGTAATGTTATTGGTTGTATTGAATGGTCAGCTAAAGTAACTATTTCTCTATTTCACACCACTGTTTCTCTGAGAATGAAACAATTGGTTCGGATAGAGGAAACAATATAAGACATCTGTTCACAAATGTGTCCAGGTAAAGATGTCAATAACAGTTCCCTGTGAAATATACCAGGAGTCTATTCTTTTAATGGAAATATCAAAATTGATACAGTTTTAATCTGTATCACATGTGATTTGAGTCCCTTGACTTGTATTTCCATAGAATTTAAGGGTCCAAGGGGTAACCCTGAAAATGATAGTAATGTTGTCTTTTCTCTTGATTCATAAATCATTGCTTAAGTTCCTAATTAAGGCCTCAAATTCACTCAAAATATAAGGGAAGTTTACATACAAGAATAGTAATTTACATCTGTGACAGTGAGTTGATAACTGCAATTTTTCAAACATTTACACATGATAAAGCATTGACAAATAATGGTGTGGAAATTAAGATCTGAAAAAAAAAAGTTATGTTTATATATAAAGTCTTGGGACAATTTAAAGACCCCTGTGTTTCTATTTACATTGGAGTGTATGTAGCAGCTTTGATTTACAAATGACTGACTGAGTTTTAACCATGACTAGATTTAGATAGGACAGGAGGCTTTGATTCGTTATATCAGAAATGTTGTTGAATCTGGCGCTATATCCTTTAGGTTAAGATAAATAGGGCCGGAGGTAGGACACAGGAATATCCTCTACATATTACAGAAATGTTGGTGTGGTGTAGTTGGCTGACCCCGCTTTATGCCCAAGTAATGTTATTGGGTGTATTGAATGGTCAGCTATAAAAATTGGTCTCTGTTTCACACCACTGTTTCTCTGAGAAATGATACAAATGGTTCGGATGGAGACTACATTATTAACAAGTAAGCAAATTTATTGTTTGTTGCTTCTGTAAACATATATTTTTGATGCCTATTTCTATTTTGATTTAATCGTTCATGCATTTATATTTTACAGGTGCTTTCTATCTTGTGTTCGAGTATATGGACCATGACCTAATGGGGTTGCTGGAATCCGGCATGTGTAATTTCAAAGAAGAACATATCGCGTCGTTTATGAAGCAGTTGTTGGACGGTTTGAAATATTGTCATAACAAGAACTTTTTACATAGAGATATTAAGTGTTCAAACATTCTACTCAATAACAGGTGAGTTGTCATGTGTAGTTACTAATTCATACTGAAAGGTTTGTGATGAAGAATATGAAATGCATGGAACTTGTGAGAAACATTGCCATACTGGTTGAAATGTATTGTGGTTCCCAATCAAAGATTTGATATAACAGAGAAGTATTTGTAAGACAAGTGCTTAAGTGTTGTGGTAAAATAATTGTGTGTTGCATGTAAGATATGGGACCAATAGGCAGAGCCAAACAGAGAGTAATATACTTGTTCATCTACAACTAACTACTTCTATACGAGTGAAGGAATCTTGACATTTTTACGAGACATAACGTATAGGTCAGTATTGATATTTTAATCCTCTGGGAATCAATAGACATAGAAGTGATAATGGCCCAATGGGCATTTTGCCTTAAAAATGCACAGTGGTGTTTTGATGTTAAAAACTGGGTTGTATTGTCACTTGTATATGTAGTTAAATCATTGCCTGATTTTACAGAGGCCAGATTAAACTGGCTGACTGGGGATTAGCACGCTTGTACCATGCAGATGACAAAGACAGGCTGTACACAAACAAAGTGATTACACTTTGGTACAGGCCGCCAGAACTCCTCCTTGGCGAGGAGAGATATGGGCCTGCAATTGATGTGTGGAGTATAGGGTATGTATTTTAACTGATTTTTTTCAAGTATTAAAAAATCATGACATTTTGGCCCATATTCAAGCATCAGAAATAATATACAGTATGTATTAAATAGACATGAGCCATTTATAATTCAAGTTGCCTTTTCTGTTTTCCATGGCAGTATGTACCCTCTAAAATTAAGTTCCTTTGACCTTCACCCCAAGGTTAAAGGTGAAATTTAAGTATGCAATTTTCATTGAAATGTTTCCCAACCTATAACTTTAGAAGCTAAGATATTGTGCTGAAACTTGAAATATACATAAATAACAATGATGCTATAATTCTATGTATTCTAACCATTCTTCTGTTGAATGATTGCAGATGTATTCTAGGAGAACTGTTCACAAGGAAACCTATATTCCAAGCTCAGACTGAGCAAAACCAGCTTGAGCTAATTAGCAAGACGTGTGGTTCTCCATGTCCGGCGGTGTGGCCGGAGGTTATCAAACTGCCACTCTTTCACACATTCAAACCCAAAAAGCAATATCGCCGACGACTGAGGGAGGAATTTTCATTGTAAGCTTTTTGATACTTATGAATAGTGTCTTGCTTTATAAATCAATTCTGACTTCAGTACAAATTCATCCAAGTTTAATTGTTGAAATAATTGCATTAAACTGGTAAATTTTTTGTTGTCATTTGTAAAGCCAGAAAGATAAGTAATATAGAATACATGGACACGTTTGCATAGGTTCATTTACACCCAGTGTTAGATTCACATTGAATCAATATTATATACTTAAATCTTTCCCTTATCTTTCATTCTTTGCAAATTTTAGCCAGAGAACAAAGAGATGAATAATAAAACTGCTGTATGCAACTCACAGTTTTCTTCTTGTACACTTTCATTCTAAACATGGCCTATTCTATACTACAGCCTGCCTAAGCATGCTCTTGACTTAATGGACCAGATGTTGGAGCTGGATCCTGGCAGGAGAGTGACAGCCGAGCAAGCCTTGGTGTGTCCTTGGCTCAGGGATATAGAATGTCACAAAATCACTCCACCTGAGTAAGTATAGTTTGACATTTTATTTGACTCCATTTTTGTTTGATTTACAAGATCAAAGATCAAAGAGACACTTCAATAAAAGTTTGATGACATTGTTTAGAATCGGAGATTAAGAATTGCCTTTATTGTCTATTACCTAGACTACCATAAAAGTGGCTGTAAATGTTTTGAAAAATCATGAAGACCCATTTGAGAATAATGATTATAGCTTTCTTTGCTATTCTTTTTGTCACTATATTCATTTCAAGGTCTCATTTTTCATAACATAGTTGTACAAGCTAGTTCAATTTGTTGTGATATATTTGTTGTTTTAGCTTACCCAAGGACCAAGATTGCCATGAAATGTGGTGCAAAAATAGAAAGAAAAGCATAAAAGAAGCAAAGCTCAAGGAATTGGAGACTGGATCAAAAAATATCACCCCTCAGAAGTCTAGTGTGAGTAACTACAAATCAGGATCATCTTCAGGGAAAGTACACATAGATACATCTAAATCATCGTCAGCAGATAGTGTAGTACCAACCAAAGCTGTAACCAAGAGTTCTAACAGTGCCAGTTCTTCTCAGTCAGTTGTGTCGCATATGACTGGACATTCATCTTCATCAGCATCATCTTCATCTTCAGCCAGAAAGAATGTGGTTCCAATCCCTGGAATTGACCAATCTATGGACAAGGCTTCTAAGGATGGTGACAGTAAGTTGGACATTCATGGAAGTCATCACAAAGGACAAAGCCATGATGGTGATGATGTTGAGGGAAGAGGTAGTAGCTCTATCCCTGCAGTTGATCCACAGAACCAACTCACAAAAATGGTGTCTATGCTGCAGCAAGGCCTGTCTGTGGACACGGTGGCCAAAAACATGAATATGAAGCTTGATGAGCAGACCATGCAGCTGATGGACAACCTTGGTAAACAGCTGATGTTGGCTGCAAGCATGGCTAAGCATGTCACCAAGGACTCGTCAGAGGAGGTTACTGAAGAGGTCAAAGCCACAGATACCTTACCAGGGCTTGGTCTGAGTGGAGATGACCAGACATCTCAAACATACACTGATCCAGCCATAGGTGGGAGCTACCCAGACTACCACCAGGCAGGGGATGGCCAGTCCATGGACAACTATAGATATCCCATGGAGAGTGTACAGGACCCTTACCCTGCTGCAGCTTATGGAGTCCCAGCTGAACCTGCTGCTACAGGAGACCAGGAGGGAAATAGCAGTAATGCTGGTGTAAAAGCAGCCCTTGCACAACTTCTGTCCCAGCAGGGTATCAGGGTAGCTGTTGGGGGCAGTGAACTTGGCAATAGAGGGGTAGACCCCTATACTTCTCAGTCAGAGGGATACTACCATTCCGACTCGAGTGATCAGAACTATGGAGTCAGAAATTTTCCAATCAGCAGCACTGATTCAACTGTGTCCTCTCAGCTGATGACTGAGCAGGGATTAATTGACTCATACAGGCAACAGGGGTCAAAGATCAGATCACCTACTACTCCTAACTTTCCATCTACAACTTCAACAGGAATGCAGAAACAATATAGTGGCTATGGGTCTGACGATTCTCGCAGCAGCAATGATGCATACAGTCAGGGAGGATACCCAATAATGGGCCAGTCCTCTATATCAGGGCCAACATCAGCAAGTGCTGCATTTGGAACGCTCAAAGGTCAAAGTCAAAGCCAGGCAAACACAGGGGTGACCCAGTCTTCTGGACCTAAGCCTTTGATGTCACTTGGCATTTCTGGCTATGGTGATGGGAGACAACAAGGTGGTGTACCTAGGAGTATACTCAAGAATAAACCAGCAACAACTCCATCACTGCTTGGTCAAGGGCCTGGTATCCCAGGAGGATCCAACTCCGGAGGACACAGAATGAATCCTGGGGGCCAAAGGGGCACATTCCCACCTGGTAGAGGAAACTGGTAAACTGATGTAAAGTTATTTTTGTTTTAATGGTGTTCTTTTTGTTGGTAGATGTAGTAAAGCAGTTGTTAAAGGTTGAAGATTTTTCAAATAACAAACAACACTTGCAGAATTATTATTCAAGAAAATTATATTAGTATGTCTGTATATCAGATTTAAAAATACTTCTAAGATGTTAAAATGAAGAATATTTATCCATCTTGCATAGTAAGTGCTTTGATCACAAGACACTTTTAGATATTTTAGTTCCTGCTTTACAAAAGAAATATTTTAGGCATCAAATGTCAAAGGTTCATGTGAAATTTTTATTTAAGTGTAGTAGGATTTCTGTACTGTATATATACTTTTGTAGTAACTTTTACAGCTTTTTCTTTGCAGTCATGTCATGACAAATTATCAGTTTATAGTAAATTTGTTTCATTTGTCATTTGCAGTTGGCTGTTTTAGACTTTTTTTCTTTCGATCAATTACTAATCTGCAGATCCATTTATTTAAAATACTATAATTATTGCTAAAAGTCATAAACTTGATCATTACAATTATGCAATTCATTGGATTCTTAAATACTGTGAGATGCCATCATTATCAAAGTTCTAAAACTTAAATATGCTAATTATTAATATTTGATTGGTTTGTTTTGTATGTCTTCTATAGAATTGTAAATATAACCTGCTGTATATGTAATAATAATTTTCATCCTCGGATCTATGGTTTGGCGGAGTCACGGAAGACTCATTTTGGGCAGTAGACATGTGTCTGCAGCTTCACCAACCTTGGAAAGCTATTCTTTCCATCAGCAAAGAAATCACTTGATGTGATGAACATGGTTGAGACTGGAACACTTCCGTTATTAGCAGTTTGAGAATGATATTTTCCTCGAATTGTATGTTTCTGTTTGCTGGACATTCTGAAGTACTTGACTCATCTAAAGATGCAAAACTGGGGGAAAACATTCTGGAAGAGTTCATGGTTGCAGTAAAGACTATTTCACAGAAGTTAACAGTGGTTTCCCAAGTCTGTCAACATTTATATTTTATTATTGAATATCAGGACTTCTGAACATTAAGGGAAGCAAATCTTGATAATGTGTATAAATGATAGTGATTAATTATAGTGTACATCTGGTTTTGTTAAAAACTACGGAAATATATGGAAACATTGTATAATGTATCCCACTTGCTTGGATTGTTAAATACATAGTGGTATCATATTATCTTGAAAATAACTTATGATCCTTCACAGAAATATTGAAAGTTAATGTTATACATTGAAAATAGCACATCATATTTTCCAGAACATGTACATGTATCAGATCTTTTGCAAAAGTCTTGTAAATTGATTGACCAGAGGGTCAATTTTCATTAACATGTAGGACAAGCTTGAAAGAGAGATATTTGTTTTATTTTTCAGCCTTAGTTTTCACAATATACATAATTCACATGTCACTTGATCATGCAATATGTTAATTTCTAAGTGTTCATACCAAAAAGAAAAAAATATTGAGAACATATGTAGTGTTTAGGCAGGTCAATAACAATGTGATGGACAGGCATTAAGATAATTTTGATGATTTATTCGTCAGAGATGAAATTTCTTTCTTAGTGATTTTTTTTCTGAAATGGTTTATTTTAATGTCGGCTGTAAAAATAGCAGGAAAAAAAATCCTAGCACTGTTTTGTAGGTTTATTCAAGTTTTCAGATTGTTTCTTATAAACAGGTTAATTCAACAAATGCATGTTTCAGGTGCAACATGTAGTTCCCTTGGACTGCAAATCTTTGATATGAATAATTTTTGTGGATATGGTGAATAAATGCTTTCCCTTCAACTTGCCTTGTGTTTTCTTTGTTCTCAAGCCATATTCAACTTAATGTGTCATGCTCAATTTTTAATTAAAAGTATGAAAATAAGAATCAAATTATTTAACAGTTTGTCTTTCATACAAATATTCTATATTTGATGAACTATTTCATTCTGAAGTCAAGGAAGGGAGATGGAAATCAAAACATATTTAAGATGAATATGGCAAAAGTTATTGACATCAGAATATATACTTCAGAACAGTTTACAAAACTTGAACAATGCATACATTACTGTTTCTCTGTTCATTTAATGTCTTGGTATTTATTTGGATTGTGAACTGTTACAAATATTCAGATACAATGCTACTTGTATTTTGCTGTCCATATTGCCATGTCTTTTACTGTTGATACTTAAGTGATATATGTTATGTATAAATGTGTGCATAGATTTTATGTTAAACTGTATACTGGGATACTGTTTGTTTCAAAAACAAAACAAAGCCAAAACAAAAACCCTTTTTTTTTCCAATTTAAAGCATTGATATTTCAAATAAATTTTGTGGTACTTAGCTTGATCCTGTTGTACAGTATGCTATTTTTTAAATAACAACCAAAATGTAATCATTGTTGTCAAATCCATTCATTCCCCCAAATGTATTTCCAAAAATAGTTTGTCACAGTATGTTGCTGGATTTTTTTGTAAATTTGACAACCAAAATGTATTGTGTTTGTATTTTTGTAAGTCCAAGTTGTTCACAGAGCGGTAAACAAATAATTGAGAAAGAAAGAAAGAAAAAAAAATTGATATATTGTGTATTCACAGAATTATTGAAAAAAAAAACAAAGAAATTTGATATTACATGTATTCACAGTTGATATAAGGGAAAAAAATCGATCAAACTTTTAAATGTTTTATGATTAATTCAATAAAGCTGAGAATGACTTGGTCAAGTTAGGGTCCAAATAAGCAACAAGATTCAAGACTTAAGTTTGTATCATCTCTATGAGTTCTTGTGTTACTCGATAATTACATATATTAATGAATATGAATAGTAATTTCATTTTGTTTATACAGTATCTTTTAAATTGTTACTTAGCTAATGGAGGTAATTCCATCTATAAAGGAAACCAGGTTGGCCGATATTCTTTATATATAGTACTGTAATACATATGAATGCCAACAAGAGTGATTAATATAAGTTGGAAAAAATTGTTTCGCACTTGTTGTAAAAATAAATAAAGTTTATTATTATTATTATTATAACTTGTCTGGAGAAGAAAAAAAACAGCTGCAGTATAAAGGTAAAATAGACTAAATTGTTGTAGGTGTAATGTTTTTGTGATCTTTTGATGACTGTTAATTGCCTTTTAATAGGTTTTTGTCTAAAGCTTCAGCTGAATAACCTTTAGTTTTATCATGATGTTTCATGGATGCTGAGAAGATTTGCATATTAATTTGATGACCCATTAAATTATATTGTAATAGATTTAAAAGATGATTAGCGTCCTACATGTTTCTATTACTGTCGCTCATATACTGTATTCAGAGCACTGAAATCAGGTCAGTGTTACCTTAAACCTTCATCGCCTGTTTTCAACTGCTTAAATTTTGAATTTGTATAGACAATGTGCTGAAACCTTAACATGCATTTATTGCAGTGTAATCAGGTCACTGTGACCTTCAGCTGAAGGTTGCTGTTACTAAAAATTTGATACTATCAAAGATTTCTCTTATTAATACCTGGTATGTTGTTCTGACATTACAAGATACGTTGCCTATACTCTGAAGATCGGGCACTGAAATGCAAGTCAAAGTTACCAGGTCAGAGGTCATGGTCAAATTCAAAATTTTCTACTGGTATATATTTATGACCAAAATCTAATGTCAAGTTGTCTGACTACAGAACAAAATCATAACTTTAGAGGTAAAGATAAAATTTTCATTCTAGTAGACACCGTTCAATATTTTGATGTGAAATTATGTAGAGAATGAAATGAGAACTGAGAAGTGTATGATCAAAAGGTCAATGTCAGATGTCTCATTTTCTATCCCTTACCTGGTGAAGAGTTTGTTAATAGGATAGTGATTCAAAGATGATTTTAATTAGATAAGAATTACATGATAATCAAAGGTCAAGATTGACAGGGAAATGTTTTGTAAGGACCATGGCAAAAAGGGGAGACAATTACTGGTAGGTTTTTGTTCACAAAGTACACAATATTCTTGTTAAATTTGATGTAGAAGTCATTTTTTCCTGAATTGTTGTGAAAAGTTGAAAAAACACTATTTATTTTATTGATTTGTTATATTTATTTTGCAGGATTATTTTGTATTTTATTAATATTTGTAAATTTAAGAAGTAGTGTAAGTTTTGCAGGAATTTGCTTACTAAAGAACCACTGTTCTATAGTGCATTTAAGGTATATTTGTAATGAAGTAATGTAGTAGTGAATAAAGATATGACCAAGAAGTTTGAAGAACGAAGACAAGCATCAACAAGAAGATGGATGAAGAGAGAAAGGGAGAAGAGGAAACAATAGATTTAATGCTGAATGTGTCCAAGACTGCTGTTTTTTTACATTATCAAGAAGTTTGGATTAAGGATTGAGTTAAATTCTGTGTTTCTGAAAATCTTGGAAGTAACACCTGGTTTTAAATGTGGTAGAGACTGCTGGATTTCAAGAAGAATCTGTATATAGTGAATGTTTGTAAATGCATTGCTAGCATTGAACTGTCTACCGGTAAGGATAATAGCTTGCTGGATATCGAACAGTTTTACGTTCAAGTGGACTCTTTGACTAGTGGATTTAAAATGTGCTTTGTAGAGAATATGTTGTATTCTACGAATGGACACACTACTTTTACAAAACAGTTTTTGGACCTTGTATTAACCCAAATACCCGTAACCTTGGAATGAAAAATACCTCTGCGTATATTTACTGGACCAAGACGACATCGGCAAAGAAAACTGGATCAAAGCATCTCAGAAAACATGATGAAAAGCAAATGGTGTGTATATATAGGTTTGTTGCTCAGATCTGAGCATCAGGTTTTTTTTCTAGACAAGCACACAGTAACATTTTACAAGCATACACTTCATCTGGTTTATATATAACAAACATGATCGTAAACTTAGCAGAAAATGGTCAACAGTTATAAACTTACATCAATAAAAACACAGATAACCAACTTAGAAGTGATAGAATGATTTGCCTATATGTGTTAATTACATAACTTCTAGTTAGAAAAACAATATCGAAATATTTATACTTCAATAGCATTAAGTATGTTTGATAAAATGAACAAGTTACATACCTAGAAGTTCATTCAAATTACAGTGACATTCCAAATTTGGGAACCACACACATAACTCCTGATGAAAAACATTATACATGAAATGTATAATTTTTAACAGTCTTGTATTGATTCAGATTTCATCCACTTCTCAGATCGATTTTATTATATAATAGAATACAGTGAATTTGTGTTTTGTTTTTTCAAGGTCATTGAGTAAGGAGTTCTATTTTTGAATAGGTCCTTTCTGTTTTGGGGGTTTTAGCTTTGAAAATGAATTTGAGCTTTTATGGGTCTCTAATTATGAGCTCATCACATTTCAGAATCTGAAAGAAGTCATCATAAGTTTGAGGTGAAGATAATATTGAAGTTATATTAAGTTTGCCGTTTTGAAAATATATCACAGAAGTTTACAGGCATATGACTATAAAAGGTTGTCAGAGAAAAAAAATCTAGTTATAATAAACCCACCCATTTTCATAATTGTTTGGAAAAAAATTTAAAACCAATATTACTGTTACACTGTCCTGTAATAAGCCCACCCCATACTTTGATTAATTTCCACCATTTCACCAGGATGGATGCTGCTTCTAATACTTAAAGAGTAATTTTAAGAGAGGTTTGGGCTTATTGGATATGAACAAGTTCAGACATTTTTCCAGTTTACTGAACATTTTTAATTTTAGTGTCTCATGCAAACTCCTGAGATTTTTGCTTGAATGAAACATTCAACGGATTTAAAATATAATAATGCTTTTCATAGTTAAAAAGAACAGTTTATGTAGTAAATTTGTTTCAATGTCGCTTCGTTACATTCAATGAGTAGTTTTTTTCCTCCATTGAGAGGGATGTTTTCTGAATTGCCAGCTTACATCGACCTCTTTGTAATTGTGGGAATGTTAATTGATAAATATTGGAGTTGTCCTTTAAAGTAATCATGCATAGAATCATTCCGTCATTAACATGTTACGCAAATCATTCTTTCATGTATACATACACTGAGATTTTGAAGGAACCTTTTTTTTTCATTGAAGAACAGCATGATAGACCATCTAATACAGACTGGTATCTATAAACACAAAGAATGCTCAAATATGTTGTTGAAAATTCTGAATGGAAATTGTTTCGTTAGTAAAAAATATGATCAGTAACAATCAAGATTTTCATATTCTAGAGATTATGTTAATTTTCATTATCATCAAGATAATTTGAATCTGATGAACACTTGTTGTTTGAGCATTCCTTGGTGTGTTGAAATGCAGCACATTCAAATTCTAGATCATCACTTGTTATGCAGATCAGTTATTGTCATTGCAGCTCAGAAAATCTTGTATATATTTTTGCTTTTAAAAAAATAAAAAAAAGTTTCATCAAAAAGTATAGAAGATGTTTCATTGATCTCTAATTCCATCAGATGTATTCCAAAATGAAAAAAAAATGATGATTGGAGGCAAGAACAAAGATATTTGAGAGCGAGACAAAACACAAGTAAAGATTAGGGAAACAAGTAGGAGGAAATATTATAAAAGGATCTGCATGACTATATGGTTCTCTAGAGTTTGAATTTACACGCATGTTGATTATGAGGAAAACAACCAGATGAAGAACCTGAAGACGAGATGCATGCAGACCAGTGTGTTGCAGTGGCAATGTGAAGGTAAGTACTTGAGGACATTTCATAAGTCCTTTATATTCTGTCATAACAATATACACGGTCCATATATGTAAATA